GGAACCAAAGATCTGGCTTTTCCCTACCCCGGCGGCGCGCGCGCGCTTGAGGCGCCATCACCATGGTCCTTGGGTCCCTGATTTGTCCCGATTAGGCAGGTGACAAGAGAACAGACAAGATGAGGGCAGGGGGGAAAAGAAGGGAGAGGCTTTTTGTTTTTTGTTTTGCGTTGTGTGTCCCGGGAGAGTGGTTCGGGATCTTCCTTTCAGTGCCGCGCGACGCACACACACCATTGGGAGAGGCCAAAAATAAAAGCAGGAATGACTTGGGGGGGGAAATATGATGAGTTGGTATGATTTTCACGATTTGACGAGACGGTTGCAGTTCCTCCCAAGGGAACCAGGATTACGGGAAACAAAATCAATTTGACGCGGGTACTGACATGAACCATTTCTCTCTCTTTCTTTGACTTGCACAACAACACCGGGGGGGGAGGGCTGAAAGTGGGAATGTTCCGGGTTGCTGCTTGCAACTCAACTGCACCGGGACGACGGTGTCTTACAGTTGTTGTTGCATATTATGGATTATTGATATTCATGTCAGTTTTGTAACACTATATGATGCCGGACATGACTTGAATTTCCAGACGGGCAAGACCTCCGAGATGCTATTAATCATCTGATTATCTCTCTCTGTTTGTCTGTGGCTTTTTTTCAGGGTCCTTGCCTTACCGGCAGAAAACAAAACTCGAGACATTTTAGGCGAGGGAGGGAGGGGGACAGATAGAGGCGTCCAGAGATCTCTCGCCTGCAGCTTTGTTGAAGGTCAACAAGGTGGTGACAAGCAACAAATTCCGGGAATCTGGACCTTTGGATTAGACCCCGCCGCCGCCGCTGCAGCAGCATCACGGCATGGCATTTTGTTTTTTCTTCTCTTTTCTAATCAACCCTTGTTTCTCTGCACCACCCGACAGATTGGAATTTGCGATTCGATGGCGTCCTAGTTACCTTACTTAGGAGAGGTACTTGTCAATCCCCCGGCAGTTACCTCTGGTGAGGTTACTCTCCCACCAACCGCTCACGCAAAACTAACCCAACCATTTGCTAGCCGCATGCTCATCAGCTTGCAACAAACCCGGCCGAGTTTCCCGAATGGGAAGTGGGACGGGCCACGAATGGAAGAAAATGGGGTGAGTTTTATCGGTTGCGCGAGCTAGCATTTTCGCAACATGGGGTGCAGAGAGAATTTTGAAAACTTTGCCGTGATTTGATATCTTGCGAACAACCCCAACCAAACCCCACAAGGCTATCTAGGGAACGCTTTGATGGCGGGGGGACAACGGACAACGTGGCACCGTGGTTTGCTAGTAGGGATGGCGGTGGTGGTGGTCGAGCCTCATCACTTTCTCCAGAACGTGCATCATCGGTTTTGGGCGTTGGAGGTAATAAGGCTAGAAGAGATGAACAAAGTTTTGAGACTACTGATGTCCACTGCCGATTCTATGCTATGCAAGGCAGGAGTGAAAAGCCATGTGTTTGGAATTGGGATAGGGCATTGTACATCATGTACTCACAGACCCGTCTGTTCTCAACATCTCGTTGGGTAGGTATCCGGAGATGTTTCCGTCTCATCGTGAAAAATAGGGGTACATATGGAGAAATGTCTCTCTCACCGTTTGTTTGTTCCTCCCATCCCTTGCCAACTTTGACTGCTCACCTTTAACCACCATCTCCCCATGTTTCCCGAACAAGAAACCATTAGCCGGCCGACCCGGCACTTTGGGGACTTAATAAATCATGCCATCACCGCCTCTCCGCTAAGACGAGACAGGAATCGTCCCAATGCGCGGGCAGATGTAGGAAAGAAGGTCTAGATTTTGGTGACGGTACTTTTGAGGGTGGGTGAAGCAACAGACCAATCCGATGAGATCCTTCGTACTGGCGACCCCTGTTTTTGACGTGGGAGGTAGGGCGTCTAAAAAACGCCACTTTTTGTTTCATTTTGCTTTTTGATCGCTTTTCTCGGCGTGTGGTTGGGAAGGCTAGACAGGATGGGATACAGGTGCCTACCTACACTACCTCGAGGAAGAGGCGGTAAACTCCGTGGTGAAAAGATGGGCACGATTTGGTTGCCTTGTCTTGATCTGAATCCTACTCTGCCTATCTACTTCCTCAAGGATCTGAGTAGAGAGGAGAAGAGGGGGACAAGGGAAGTGGGAGGGGAAGAATGGAAAATGGAAATGTGGTGGTGGTGGTGGTGGTGTGTGGGTGGTAACGCATGCTGCAAACCGCCCGCCTTGTCGATGAGGGGGAAAAAATGCAAAGATTTGCAACTGCAGTGGTCGGCGATCAAAAATTCCATTTCGTCTACCTTCTCGGCTTTGTCTATCAGTTGACCAAGATTGAAGAAAGGGTCTGGATTTCTCATATATCGCGGGTGGGTGGGTAGGTGTGTGGCACAGAGGACGGAAGGGATCGCGGGGGGAGCCGGCAATGAGTGGCTTGCTTTTGAGTGCGACGTTGTAACCCTTGTTGAAGGAGGAGAGGAGCAGTTGGAAACATGATCGACGAGATGATGTCGATGTCTATTTAATCTAGGCCTTGGTTTTTTTTGGTTCGGGAGGGGGAGTTACCGGGTAGGGTTGGTTGTAAGGCTTCCTGTGTGGTTGTCACATTTTTTGCATCGTGGATCATTCACATCATTGAGGACATGACATGATGAACTGCCGGTCACATCACATTGGATGGTGGTCACAATTCTAGGCTTGACCGGTACTTGGAGCAGTTCGGTGTTGATACTCGCAGTGACTTCTCGGTCCCGTCTGTTCAGTACCTAGGTTGGTGGCAGGCAAAAAGAAGGCGTCAAAATTTCACTGCTGTCTTGCTTTTGTTGCTATGTGTGCAAATCTCGCGCCCGATATGCAAGGGGACGCGATTTCCATTTCGTGTTGTTTCCTCTTCATAACTGGCAGCCAGGGGCACTCCTTCCACCCGACCTTTCGCGGCGTTAAACGTCCTGCCCAACTGGTTGGTTGGGAGAAGCCTTGGTCCGCGGGCGTGCGGCCGGGTCATCGGGCGCGCGCGGATAGAGATGACAGATGGAAAGCCACCCCCTTAACTAGTCAGTTGTCAAGTTTTGGGGCTTTGACTGGGCTGCCCAGTCACGATGGGAGGCGAGCCTTAGGGGGCTTGAGACACCACAACGGCGTGCATACCCGCCTTGTTGGAAAACGCACCTTGGTTTGGACTAAGGTAATGTGCTTGTAGGCCGTTGAGAGAGCACGTTTGAGCGCCTGTTCAAGGGAGAGAAAGCGGTTGAAAGGTCGATGTAGTTGGGCTCGTGGCGTCAAGTACCTCGAGTACATAGAGCCAGACGCCTGGTTCAATGCAGGAGTCTGAAGGAGCGGTTTGGAAATATAAACAAGGCTGTTGACCCCCTTTCTTGGGGCAGCGGGTTCTATCCCAATTTGGCTTCGAAGTCTTGGAATGCCCGATCTGGAGGACTTTTGTCGTATGATCTCTCGATGGAGTGCATCTCTTACCGTCTTGGAACCCGCCCAGGGCTCAGTTTGGGGTTAGCACCGATGCATAGGTACGGGCATTTAGAATGCGTGGAATTTGGGGCAAGCGGTCATATGCAGGGAGAGGATGACGGGAAGTTTCGACTTACAGCCAGCCACCGTTGCTGGGCGTCGATGCCGCTTGGTGGAGTTGCCCGGCTTCCATGACCCCTTTTCTGGTCAACAACAATCATGGAAATTCGGTCATCAAGGAGAACTCTACTTATTATGTGCGTGGACAAGAATGATGTTGCCCACGAGCCTGATATCCACTTGGAACTGATATTTCTATTGGCAAATCAGCACAAGCCTCGAACTTTGAAGTGAAAGGTCACTCTGTTTGAGATTGCTTGATGCCACAATAAGAGCCCCAATATGAAGATCTTTCCAAAACCTGGATCCTTACGTTGAAAATCATCAAATTAAATTGCCGGAATGGCTCTTCGACGCTAAACAAATAACAAACAACGAGGTCTCGACATGTATTCAGGAATTGAGAGCCTCGAGCCCAGAAACGAGATATGGCTCCTAATAACACGATAGTTCGTTTCTTTAGTAACTGAGATTGAGTCCCACACATGACTGTGATAGTCCAACCTGTGTCAATGAGCACATAAATAAAAATGCAGCTTTCACATCCTTACTAGGTACTTCCCGTTGTCGTCTTCCGAGCTCTTGACTCTGGCATTATAGTTCAAAACAGAATGTGAAAGATCAAAGTTCTCGACGCAAGTCTGCGACATGTAACACAATCTTGAGGCCTAGTGATATGCTGTCAAGTATTAACCTGATGACAATAGACCGAATAATCCATCCTGTCCTATTCTCAATCCTACAATAACCGTCTCAACCAAGCCCTCTCACACCAAGGCAACATGCCTGCTAACAAACCCCCCTCCTAGTCATCACAACTCGCCTCCAAGACCTGCTTTTCCCCACCCATCACCTCCCCTCATCTTACCACTAAAAGGAACGTGCTTAAAGTTGTGTGCAGTATCAATAATTGTATCCGACAAAAGGCCGTCTCTCATACGCCACCCACCATCTTAGAGACGCCTTCATGAAATACAGACCCCGTCCCCCCCCCCAGGCAAAGAAGAAAAAAGACCAAAGACAACACCACAATGAAAACAGAGACGGAAAACGTAGAAAGATAAAAAGTAAATGATAGACACCCTCAAGGCATGTCATGCCATTTCAATGGTATATAAAGTTAGAAAAAAAAGAGTACGGTGTCAACCGCGTGGTTGGTATATATAAATAAAGAAAAAAGACAACCATCCCATGCCCGTCCTGGCAAATCTCTCTAAAAAGATTAGAATGAATGAGTGGAAAAGAGAAATCACCATCATCATCACCACCTTCGTACACCCCCACCGAACCCATCATGATAGCATGGCACACACCCATCCATCAACACCATCCTATGCTAACCTTCCAACACCAGAAAATGCTTGACAAGACACACACGCGCGCACATTATTGTTCTTGTAACTGGTCCTATATCCAGGCATTCTTTCCATCCGCCACAGGAGGTGGTGTCGTCTCGCCTGTTCGTCGTGGTGGTGGTACCATGGGGGGACTCCGTGGGTTGGTAGCCGGCTTAGCTGGAGGGACGAGTTTGGCCTTGCTGGGGCTTTGTGGGCTGTAGACACTGGGGCTCAGGGTGATCTCCTGAAATGGTGGTGCCGGCGTTACAGACTGGGTGTCAATCATGGGTCTCGGCACAGGCGGCAGCGTCTTCATCTTCGCATCCTTGACTGGACTTCGGCCCGGACTTGTAGGAGACCCTTCTTTCGTCGAGCCGGTTGGTGTCGAGGCTCCCGAGTCCAAGCCCACGGGACGCTTGAGCTGAACATTGATGCCCTTGGCTTGAAGCTCCTTGACCACGTTGGGGCACTCCAAGTTGTACACATGAGGGTCCTGAACTGTGACGACTGTTTGGGCTACTGGTGGGATATCGTCGACAGAGGAGAATCTTAGTCCGATCTGAACCGTCGCTGATGAGATAAGAGACGAGTCTCTGCGGTGGCGGAAGGCGGCAAGGTTACCCATCGAGGGTGGTGGTTTGAGGTGGTCGTTGTTGTTGGGTGAGTATGTGGTGGCAGGAAGGAAGGTAAGTGACGACTTGGCGCCGGAGTTCTTGTTAGGAAATAATGAGTAGTTGGAGCGCTTTCTCATGTGCCCACCGGCTGCGTTCGAAACACGGGCTCGTTCTGGCGCTTTCGGCATGAACACGTTGGATGCCGCAGACATCAATCTGTTGGAGCGGAAGGAGCGAATGGACGCAGGGCCTCGTCGACCGTAGATGGTGGAAGGTGGCCTCACGCTGCGCATGCTCTTAGCATCCACCATCTCCTCTTTCTCGTAGGCCGTCAGAGTCTCTTCGCTATCCATCCTGCGAAGATCAGCGGCCGTCTTGTATTTTTTGAAATCCTCATCGAATCCGAATTCCGAGTCTGCGTCGTCCATGGTATACCGCCGCTCAATCTTATATCTGGCCCTGCGGTTCTCGTACTCGCCGATTTTGTCCCTAGGTCCAATGGTCGAAATGGTGTTTGACTTCAAGAACAGGTAAAGCCCGCCATTCATGAGTCCGGATATGTTTGCCACCACCGCAGCAACCATTGAAAGATTGAGAGAATTGTTGTTCTGGCCTCGCCGGTTCAGAAAGGTCAAAACGTAGAAATATGGCAACATGAAACACTGATAGAGGTGAGCAACTGGTTCTGATCAAAATCACATGGATTAACTTACAATCGAGATGGCTCCCAATGCCAGGTAATAAACCATCCTCGAGGCCGCCACGCGAGCTGTCACCTCGATCTGAATGCTGCTGTGTAGCTTGATGAAGATCACCACAGTGCAGATAATAAGTACCGAGGCTATGGCCGTCAGAAGCCCAAAGCATGCCGTCGAGTAGTGAGCAACAAACCAAAAGAGCGAGGTTAAGCAAAAGTTTGGAGACTGGTCAAAGTCGGCAACCAGAAACATGGCAAGTGTAAACAGCCCAACAAGTGCTGAGCAAATCGACACATTCCATTTCCCCCGTGGGGCAAACAACTCCTTTCGAAGTGCCCTCAACGTCAACTCAACACCAAAGACAAGCTGAATAAAAGGCGCCAGGAACACAGCTGGTAAATGTCAGCAAGCGTAATTCCAACCTACTCATCTGAGACCAAGGTTTCTTCTCACCAGGCAACATGACCAATGCCATCATAGTGCATCCCGTGCCAAAAAGTCCGTCGAGGCCAGTCGACTGAGCGCCGGCAAAGACCAAGCTTTGAATGAAAATTCCAATTGATAAAATGAGCGGATAGATCTCGCCTTCGGGCACAAAGTTGAAGCCATTCCGCTTGAACCTGTATGACCTGTTGTTCCGCCTTTCCCTGAAATACGAATCAACCAGGATCCCCACGGCGGTCGCAAAAGAAGCAATAATATTAAAAGAAGCTAAAATGATGGTCGATGTTCGAATGGATCTGGCAGCGGCGAATCGTAGTTCGTTGAAGAACATCTGCTGTGTGGTGGTTTGGTTCCGAGCCGTCTGGAAGGTGTTGGTTCCTGTCCTGTTGAAGTTGTTCTGCGGCATCGTCCCCGTGTCGTCCCGCGACTGCAACCACGAGGCAATCACCTCATCTACCAACGCGAGTGGCGACATTTGGGCTCTGTCGGTGTCTGTCTATCCGCGAGGTCGGCGATGGCGAGATTGCCGTAGCAGTGCCCTTGAATCCGTCCGTCGTCAAGTCATCTAATCCACGTCGTCGAGGTCGTAAACACGGCGCCGGCCGATGTGTGGTGAAGAAGCGAAGGGGGAGAAAAAGGAACAAATCAAGACAAACAGATGGATGAAGCAAGAGTGTAATGGTATCCTGCCATCCCGCATTCCACTCTCGTAAGCCCGTCTGTTCGGCAGGGGTGGGCACACCTTGAGCACAACCACGGGCCAGACGAAACAGTCCCTGAGCACCCAGCACTTGCTGCTTGCCCTCGACTGGGAATAGAAACAGGGACCAGGGCTGATGAATGGGCCAATCCAACCAAGGCAAAGAACGGCAGACAGACACTTGCAGACCGCGGGTCTCTTCCAGAAGAAGCAGGGTGCTGAAGGGGAGACACCGGTGCATTAAAATGGGGACAGAGCACCATGTGCTCTCCCGGTCAGGTTGTCGAAGAGACGGCAAACGTTGACGAGAGCTTGGGATGGTCCCCTCCCGGACAGGATACAACCGAGCAGGGGTGTGGGCTGGGCATCTTCAAATCCCCAGGAGAGATGGCGACTCAAGTGCGGCCGCTCAGGCAGAAAGCGATCTTGGCCCCTTGAAGGTGGCTGATGGCCAGACGGGAGGCCATCCCATCCTGCTCAGGGTGTCATTGTCTTCCCCCAGAGGCCGCAGAGACGGTCGTTTATCGAGATGTTGGGACCAGTCATTGCCTAGAAAACTGTTTCTAGCTATGGTATCTTGAGGTAGGGGCAGAAGAACTCAACCTGAACTTGAGCTGCTATCCAGAGTTTGCCTTCCAGAGCTCGTCATGATAGCAACCTTGGCGTGGCAAAAGCGAGCACCCTGTGCTGGGATGCAAAGGTAAGCCATTGATTCGGCTCGGGGCCCAAGCTCAACTCTCTCGCTGTGGGCGGGCAAAGAGCTCGAATTGTGCTGTGATGAGTGCAGCGAGGCATTGTCGCGACGTGGGGTTGAGGCAGTTTCGTGACAACCCCCAGTTTCGTCTTCTGCACTAGCGAGGCCCCCTGGTCCATCCGGAGTCGCCGCAAGAGCCGTAAACTGGTCAAAGCTCCACCCCCCGCAGCTCTTGAGTGACATGCCAAGACTCCTGAAAAGGCAGGGCCAACCCCTGCTGCGGATCAAACCGAGAGACATGCGATCTGTGCAAGTCAACGACACTCCTTCCACTGCTTGGAGATCTTCACGGCCCATCCAGCCTGTTCTCTGGATAGCCTCCCAGCATCAATACAGCCTGTCCAAAGATAGACTGCTTTGCTTTTCATGCCCACAGGCCCTGGCATAATATCAATTCAGTCTCAGTCATCACTAGTTTTGTCATTTGCAATGAGCCTTCTTACTGACCTCAGTCCTCAAGGCCAGTCATGAAAGTGCATCAGTCCACCACAACATCGATCCGGATCGATCATCACCAGCTATCAAGGTTTAACGATGCACTCAGTCCCATCTGTCCTACGTTTCCTCCCCTCAGCACCCACAATAAAAGCTTCTTTCGATTCCATCGACCATCGTCCGTTGTCACCCACCCCTCGCATCCCCTGAAGCAGAGCATGTATCAGGTTGCGGTCATCCCATCACCCTCGTGTCACCCGACAAGGGACTTCACTTGGCCTCTCCCCCTCCCCCATAACTTCCAAACTGAGATAAGAGATCCCACGATGGATTCCTTTGAAAGCCAGCCATGCCTTGCGAACATCATTGCGGGGAAGGTAGCAAGCAGATAAGGCGACATGCCTCGTATCGACACCGTCGGAAGATCGTTGAAAATGATGCTCGCTAGTGGCCCCTATGCCAACAGGCCAGCTTTACAACTTGCTCCAGCCCTACCTAGATTGAAATACGGAGCTTGGCAGAAGTCGACAACCAAAGTATTGCTCCTGCTAGCTCCCTCGGACTCGGAGGTTAGGAACTTTATTCGCCTTGCTTTTCGCGGGTCGGTACCTATCTCACAATTCTAGACTCTCTTGAAGGACGATAAGGTACAACAGGAAGCGAGCAGGGTCAGCAGGATGCCGAGCTTGCCCAGGCTGGATGAAGCTTGACACGAGTTCCCAGCGGCTCTAGACTCCAGCATTGTCATGGGTTACGGTCTGGTGGGTAGAGGAAGCTGGAAGTCTAGAATTCCGAAATGAAAAGGGGGTATGCTACAGGCTCTGCTTTGCGGAGGGCCACCCAACTTTCCGGTTTAGTCTGTAGCATCAACGCCACACGTCTGTCACCAACGTGGGATCCGCCATGCATGTGGCTGACATGGGGCTGGCTGGCTTTGATGCGCTCCAGCTATTGATGCTGGCCAAGGATATCGACTTGTATGATCGTAATGTGTTATGATGTGCCTGGCGAACCTGGTTTTGCAGCGAGGTTCTCATGAGATTTCCGGCTGGGTTCAGGGCTCCCTCAACAAAGCCCAAAGCATCAAGTATATGCATTTTGTTCATTCCTACAGCCATGTCGTACCTACAGTTCGCAATTTCTTTATACCCATATACCAGCACCCCCCCACTCTTCACAGCATCAAACATCAGTCATTAGATAATGATGTATCAACCCCTCAACGTATATCATCGTTCTCCACGAACCACCGCCCTTCTCATCGCACGCTTTACTCGTCCTTCTTCTGCTCCTCAACAATAGACCTGACCCAGATAGCGTCGTAAATGTCCGCTCCAGCCACGTAGATGGCATACAGAGGGATAACCACCCAAAGGCCCTATCAAACCGTTAGCAACCTCCCCCCCACGACATCGCCATCAAACAACTTACATTGAAAAAGGCCAAGAAAATCCACTTGTACATAAAGTTGCTCGTATCCAAGTTGGCGCTCCCGCTCAACCATTCCGGCATAAAAGTCATATACCCACCATACAACTCGGCCGTCGCAAGAATGATCACTGTATCTCCCATTAGCAATCCTCCCTTCCTCACCTCCACCTCCCCGAGAATATACTCACTAGCCAAGTTCCCCCTAGCCACATTCTTCCTCGCCAAATCCCAACAAACCAACACCGCCATCACACCCCCAAAAACAACCGTAATAATCTCAATACTCATTGTCGCCAAATCAACCCCCGCCCACCTCCGATCAGCCTTGGCATACACCATCCACAACTGCGCCATAGCACCCAAAAACCCCTCCTGCCCAACAGCCGCCTGCGAGCCCCAAACCCGTCCCTTTTGGTCCCGCCCCAAATAATAATACGGCGTCGGGAAGTAATCCCCCTTCACCTCCCTCACCGACGTGCTGCTGAACAGGCAGTGCCACACAAAACTCCCCTCCAGTATGAAGTGGATCAGCGCGTCAAACGCATGCCAGACAAACAGGAACCTCAGCCTCCCCGGAGTGTGCTTGTCCAATACCAGTTTCGAAATCCCCAGCGCCGTGAACAGGATCGCGAGTGTCGAGAGCAGCGAGATGATGGTCGTCTGGTCGATCATTTCTATAAAGGTAAGGGCTTCGGCGCCCGAGGGCGACGAGTGTGTCGAGAAGTCCATGGCTGTGATTTGGCGCTGTATTGACCGGTCGATTGACTTTCAAAGTATTGAAGAAGCTGGGGGGAAAATCGCCGCGAGTTTGCACGTCGCGTTCAAGAGTAAAATTAATTTTTGGTGGTGATACCCCATGTCACACCTGCTTGGTGCCAAGCCTGACTACGGCTGTCTCCGACCCCGGATTCTGGGTTGGGATTGGATACCATCGCCAAGGGTCTATCTGTCTAGTGGATATGGGGCAAACTTTCTCCACTTGGCTTCATGCTGAACAGCTCAAGATGTTCTGGAATTGGCTGATATCAACGTTGTGGAAGCAGGAATACTACTCTCTGAATTTTTGACTATCATGCGATAGATAGAAGCATTCTCGATTCAAAGCGTGGATTTTACCAGTAACTCTTGCAAATTCACAGCAAGAAAGATGTCGGCAGAAAGGCACAGAACAAGTCACATCACCAAGCACAGCAAAAGGCACAAAAAAGTATGGGTAAGAAGCGAGGTTGACTATCAAGCTACCGAGCTAGTAGTCGGGGGTATTAAAATGCTAATCCTCCTTCCCGAAATCCACTGTCCCCTAAAGAAACTGAAATCCATGCCCCAAAAGTCCTCCCATCAATCACCCCATGATGTCCAAAACCAACCCATTGTGATCAAGTCTCTCCCAGCCCGAAAGAAGCAGTGGTCGATGTCGTCAATGATGAGCGGTTGAAGGTGTCAGAAGGCGGTTATTGAGATAGTGAAAGGCACTTAGTGGGTAGCCTTCTGCTTGTTGGTCTCAGCGGAGGCCTCGTGCTTCTTCTCGTCAAACTTGTCGGAGATGGCATTGCCAGCAGCGTCGAGACTGTTGAGGGTGTTAATTGGATGCCAAGTAATGAGGGGAGAAGGGAGAGATGCTTACCGAGTGCCGGCGCTAGCATTGGAGTCCTTGGCGACCTCCTTGTTGGTCGTCTTGGAAGCCTCAGAGGTGGCAGCGTTGACCTTGTCAGCGACGAAGTTGCCGGCGTTCTTGATGGTCTCCATTTTGATAGTTGTAGGTGGTGAAAGTTGTTTGTTTGAGTGTGAAAGTTGTTTGTAGAGTGTAGTGGTCGATTGTCTGCTAGAGTTGTTTGATGATGGAAGAAAAAGAACAGCTCTGAAAGGTGGAAGATGGGAGATTATATACACAATCGATGGGGGGTCTGGCCCGCTTGCAAATTTCTGGTTTGACTGACTCCTCGAAAGGCATCAGAGGGGTGTGACGGAGGAGAAGCTCCTATGACGTAGCTACTTCCTTCACATGATTCCGCTGTCCCTGCGTTAATTCGGCCCTTGTCTAGTTATTGCAGGCAAGTACGGATCGGATGGCCTTGCGTTTGCAGCCATCAAAGAGGCAAGTACACGCAAGTTTAGACAAACTACCCCACCCCTCCGCGACAACCGCGCGTTCAGGAGGCCATGACGTCAGTTACCAGTTGACCAGCCGTTGTGGCCTCTCCATTTAAGGTAGGTGCACAATTGTGGCTCAGGCCTGTGGGGCTTGTGAGGTCCTTTGAAACTGCATTACCCAATTGCTAGCAGCAGCATGAATAGTATAGCACAATTAGGGACTCGTCCTACTGTTGACCAGTTTGATGTCTACAGGGTCATGCAGCTAGATCGTTAATGAACTATGGGAACATTTTGGTAACTGTCAGTTGGAAGATTGTAAATGTTTACGGTCTGAACTGTATCTTGAAGGCCGATATCCTCAAAATCTGTCACTTCAGCCTTCTCAGACAAACTTCACTTCCATAACTGCTCCTGCCAGTCTGGGTGTTTTGCAACGGTTGCCCTAAATCTCCAAGTGACGTTCTAGAGCAACCCAAAAGCGGATTAGCGGATTAGCCCCAGTCAGCCCAAAAGCTTCTTTGGGTCCTTGTCGGTGACGCAAGAGGGGCTCTTTCGCTGCCAAGATGACCCACAATTGGCCAACTCCAACCTGACAATGCAAAAACTACGTCACCACTTTTGCTGCTTCTTTGCGGGGAGAACAAACAAGTCAACAACAATCGGCCGGCTCCTGCCCCGCGCTGCGGCCTTTGAAACGAAGCATTGAGCCGAGGAGCATCAATCAAGTTGAAAGGGCACTAAGATATTCCTTTGGAGTCAAGTTCTAAAGCCGACGGTACACGTGTTGGTTGAAGCTCCAATGACAATCCCAAGCGTTGGTCATCCGTGGAGGCAATGTGTTGTTGCCTTGGCCGGTTGGATGTTGACATCAGGGGGATCAGGGGAAGATGCCATCACAATCGTCGATGCTCTGCAGCTTCCAAATCTATCATACGCACCACTACCCTCCTGGACCACTGGCGTTGAAGCATGATCGGGAACAAGCGGAGTTGGGCCTGTCGTGTCACTTGCTTCGGACTTCTCTCTCCGCTGAACACGACGGATATTCGTGAAAGTACCACGGAGATGTTTGAGGAGGCGTTGGAAGGTTGGGTAAGAAAGGAGATGCTAACCAATTCATGGGCGGCTTATTTGCTCCGCTGTTAATGAGAGCGGAGGCCACCACTGCTCTCCTTCCCTACAACCACATCTCCGACTTTCCAATTCCAGGCTACCTCCCATCTCCCAAGCACTGACACAAGCGCACCAAGCGGGAAACTGCCGCACAAGAGATCGATATCGCTGGTTGGATCACATGTGGAAGTTGTCACCAGCGCACGGGGCGGATCCATCTGCCAGCCTGTCTTGCCTGTCTGTGAGCACCCTACACCATCAAGGCAAGCGTTGGTCACGCGAAACGTTAAGATAGCCGCCAGCCCCGGGTTGGGGTTCGGATCGGAGCCGCACCTGACCAAGCTGCCGGTACCTTTGTTTGACAGTTCCGATCGGCGGTCTATTCTTGCTCAGAATAATTACAGATCTCCTGCATCGGCAGCTCCCGTTCTTGCAACTTGGCACAGGCTTGAAAGCTGCGATCTGACGAAAACTCCACCGTGACTCAGATCATATCCAACATCAGGCGGGATCTTGTGAAAACGTTGTTATCCCCAGCCCCAAGGGAAGCCAACAGGCTTTCTTGTGTGTCAATGGGCGCTTGGCGGGACTCAACCATCGCCATCCCGATTGTGCTGTGATTCATGCAAGATTTCGGATATCAGAGCAAACAAACCAATTCAAATGGCTCGTATAAGGCCATGCATTAGCGGTTGGCACGCAGAATCAGGCTGAGCAAAATACCTGCAGCTGTATGCACGTTCAAGAGGTTACACCAAAGTTCCTTTTCACGCGCATGCCAAACCGAGGATAGCTCGATGATCAAGGACATTGCAGTTATGTCTGGACCGTGAACCATACATCGACTGGCTCCGGCTGGCACAGTTCTCGCAATATTCTTCCATTCATGTGAAGTCAGTGCACTACCTGACATGGAACCCGGTGCCGAGGGTCAAAACAAAATCATCTCCAAGACGGCCATGATCAAGCATCCGACCACATGTTCTTTCCATCATGGGGGTTGACATATCAAACCTTTCCTTCCTTGAGGTCGCGGAGCCGACGAAGCGTTGAACGAGTCGTTGTTGCAGCAGGTGTCCTTTGAGCAGATTCATCAGCAAAGTCCTGGCTGCCCGTTTCTCCATGCCCAAGTGAGAGCTCAACTTACGAGAGAAGGTAGGCGCCTCCAGTCACAGTCTTATTGCACCCATTGCATTTCCAGATACCGGTGGAAACCCGCTTGATTGCGTTTTTGCCGCAGGAGGGGCTTCAACATGGTCAGGAAGAAATGTCTGAAGACAGAGGCAGCAAGGGAGGAGTTACCAGAGGTAGCGGGCATGTTGAGTAGTTTCAATGCACTTGAGCTGCTTTCGGAGTGAGGCGCCGTATCGGACACCGTACTTGCCGGCAATCCCGACTTCTGTGAAGTGTTGGCAAGGCCTATCGGGTGGAAGATGGGTGATACGTACTCTTTGTGCGCTTGGACATCTTGATGATTGGTGGTCGATGATATTCTTCTTTCCTGTCTTTTGCCTGAGTTGCGATGCTTTGGCCCCAAGATGTGAAACTGCCAACCTTCAATCCGATCTCATTGACCACAGGAGAGTTGAGGTGCCCTCGGCTCGCTTTGCTCCTTCCCTACACTCGCACACATCACGCAAGCTGCTTGCTTTGGCAGTCATTGGTTAGCTGGGGAATTCTGGTCAAAAATGGCAACTACAACCCGCACGGGCGCCTGCCATGATCGTAAATTGCTTTATTGCCAGGCAGCAATCGACAGCAGACGAAGGCACGAATGATCATATGTAGTGCAAGTCAGGGAACTGCTAGCTTGTGACTGACTGATTCCTGGCATACTCACATTTGATCAAGTTTGAAAGGGTGTCATGCAAATGAGGGGCTCCAAGAAGAATGCGAGATTATAGAAGCAACCCTTGATACCTGGGTGTAATTTCGACGATGTGCATGGCTCAAGGTGAGATGAGATAGAGAGAAAGCTGGTAAACCATAACGTGTCTATCTTGAACATGATGCATCAACGCTTTCCCCCACACGTCGGCGGCCAGCCTTCATCAAACTGGTTCCTTCTTTCCTGATTTTATCGTGAAGAGCACTATTTCCACTGCTACATGCTCGCAATCTTACCCGATAGAGCAAACTTCACACTGTTGATATCCAGTGCTTCGATGTCTCTTGGGTCGGCGGGACTTGTGACATGAAGCAGCAGCTCAATACTCCTGTGGGTCCAGGTTGCCAACGGCGCCGTCACCGCTTGGAAGGACCAAGATCCACCCGACGATGTCAATCCCCTCTTATTTGTCAGGGCGGTTCTGCCGACCCAGACAACACCGCCGAGCAGGAAGTTCTCGAGGACAAGTTCAGAGAACGGGGGATGGAGCTCCCATCCTCACTGGGCGGCCGTCGACAGAGAGGTGCGCCTGGAGATTGCTCTCCTCCTATGAAGACCTCTGGTGCGCTAACTAAACGGTCGCTTTCCAGCTACAGTTAGCTCTCAATATCAACGATGGTGCCGGTGATGCAGCCGGGGCTGCCTGCGTGGCCAATGACCTTTACGAAAGCCGTCATGCCATCAAGTGCCTGTCGAGTAACTGCTACATGATAACAATCACTTATTACACACCTCCACCAGCGGCGAAGTATAATTTCGGTTATACCTGGAAGATCACTTGTGTATCCATTGCTCAAGCAGTCCCTTCAGTCTTACTGTGCGAACAAGGTGCTTGCGTGTGAAGACTATGGGTTTGCGGTGTCCAACGTTCGGTTCTCTGGTCAAATCGTCATCAAAGAAGCCCGGAGGCCTCGATCACAGAAGGCCTCACTGAAACTGTGTCTATGGTTGCTGGCTTGAAAATTCGATGGCCTGTGGAGAAGAATGGAGTTACACTTATTCTACGACCGAACTTGACGAAACATCTTCACGAGGCCCAAAAGTACAACCCACCCAAGTGCTTCAATGTAAGTATCCAGCAACCAGCCTTAACCCACCGATTTGGCTGTTCTTTCGGCCTGTCAGCAATTACAAGTGAACAAATTACCTTACCTATCTGTCCCCCGGGCTCTCGACTGCAACAGTGCCTGGACCAACAACAACAACAACAACAACCACAAAGCGCAGCTATCCTGTACAAACCCAGGTCTCCTCTTCCTCTTACCAACAAAGCTCAAGATCAAAGGCCCGGCCCACATCAACGATCAGCCGTTTGGTTACCGGGGACTGTCCAACCCCTTTAGTCAGCCCATACACTCGGGTTCAGTCTGGCATCTCAGCTGCCTCTGGGCCGCACTGGGGGGATTCGGCGATGGACTCGCGGGTGTGGTACCCGTGGTGGAATGCTCATCCATGGAACTGGGGGGGGGTGGGGGGGGGTTCAGCTATTACTCTACTTGTGAGGAGTTGGATTACCCTTGTGTGTGAAATCAGGGGGTGGTATGAACATATAATTTTAAATGTATAGGATCCACACATGTAAACTACAATGTATAAACAGGCCATTTCAAAGAGCTACATCTGTTTTTCAATGGGATGTTTGCCGCGAGAACTCTTGACCCTGCCATATGGAAAGACGGGACCGTCCACATCGTTGTTCCTGCCTGCCTAACAACCGCGAGGCAAGAACCCGCCTGCCTCCTGCCTTCTCCCCGCCCCTTCCTTCCTTTCCTAGTTCCTCCCACCCAACGTCACGCGGCATGATGACTCTACCGCCACGTCCCTTCTCAAGACAAGCACTTCTTCCTGCCACCACCCGCCTGCCCACCTCACTGCCCAATACGATATAGTCTTCCGCCAGCAGCTTCCATCAAACAGGCAAGCAATATCAGACCGAAGAGCAGACCCCTCTGGTGTATCGGTTAACATAGTGGATTCTCATTCCGTTGCGCTGGGTCCTCCTCCCAGGAGGGGTGGTCTTCTTTTGCTTCTTTTTAGGCCATCATGGACAGAGTTGTCAGTTGGGTCATAATGATATGTATGCTTCATTACAAGGTACATATACATGAGTTGTGCTGTGATATATACACTGCATCCAGCAATGCGCTACATGGCAAACCCTTTGGCAGATTATGACGCGCTGTCTCATGTAGACCACCGGCTCAGTGCTGCGGTTCATCAGCACGATCCAACCCCACCCTCATCATAGCACTCCTCCTCTGGATACCCATCTTCGTCATCATCATAGTACCCTTCCTCATCCTCATCATAACCCCCGAACTCTTCGCCATCCGCGTAGCCCTCCTCCTCTTCATCGTAGTCACCCTCTATCTCCATCTCATCAAAGTCAAATTCCTCTTGTACCACACCAAGTCCGTCTTCAAAAATGACAGTCTTTTTGCT